GCAACATGAAAACGCCTTGCACAGCAAATACACATTTTGCTCATGTCTGTAGTCAAGTCTGTAGAGAATTCCCCATTGCAGTGGCCTCAGTGAAGGACTGGCTTTGGGCAGGGCAGAGCTTTGCTTCCCTGAGTGTTTCCCCCACTCTACTTGGCAATGCAGATAAAAGAGTAAAGTTACATTTTCCCTTAAGTTTCTAAGGTGAAACAGGAACACTTGATTCTGTGCTATCCAAAAAAACAAAACAAAGAAACCTCTCCACTTGCCAAATCTGATACCAAAAGTTAACTAGCTCTTGGAACTATGCTTCTACAGAAAATGCATTAGTGGGAATTTTAACAGAAAACCCATTATATCCGAGCTGTTACTAAAACTTCTGCAAGTTCTCTTCTTCAGAAAGAGATTTATTTTCATACTAATAGTTCTAAATAATATAAAACATTAATTATCTAATAAAATTCTTTTTTGGGGGGAGGGGGTCTGTGGAGGAGCAGAAGAACCAAACACCAGAGGTTTTCCTAACATGTCTGACAACCAAACAAATCAAAACAGTGTAGGAGTGGCCACCCTAATTAAATCAACCCCAAAGAGTGAAACTGCAGGGTTGAACAATGCATGATTTTACTACTGAACGTTTGACGGTTGTGTCTTTCTTTTAATGCATCCAGTATCAAGAACCAACACTGTCAATTTAAATTAATGTATATTCGAATTATAGATTTTTGACACTATTTGACAATCTCTCTTAATATGCAAACAAATAAAAAAAGGTACTCAAAAGTATGGTCTTACAGTTTCAGGATTAGGGTGCTTTTTTCCTTAACTGTTATTTTACTATGTAATTTAAGACACTCCGTCCTTACAATTGATAATTATCTATATAAAAAAAAAATCGCAAGTCAAATAAAGGGGAAACAAACAAGGGTTCTTGGAGACTGAGGTAGAACTAGCCATCAAGCAGAAAAGGCAAACATTCATTAAAAAGGTATTGATTGGCTCCAATTTCAGACAACTATGAGTTTTTGTTTTGTTTTAATTTAAGGATGCCTATTTATAAAAGTGTGTTTCCTGTATATTCTCCTGTTTCCTGTTTCAAGGCAATAACTATCAACAGCATCACTGGATATATTAGCACCTTTCTTTAAAAGAGCTTAACCACTCTCAATGTTTACTGTCTCCTGGACCTTCCAGTGGCCCTGAGACACTGAAGGGAGAGGCTTATAATTATCCCATTTTACAGACAGAGAAAGTGGAAAAGAGGGATTAAATGGCTTTCCTCTAGTCACACAAAGACTCATTAAGATCAGCAACTGGAAACCTGGTTTCCTGATTTCTGGTTTAATGTTCCACATGCTATGTATGCTTCCTTCTTCGAAGTACTATTTTTGTAAAGGTTTCTCTTTCAATAAAGGAAATAGAACAAGTCATGTGACTTTCATTCACGAAAGCCTCTGTGTGTTTTCATTAGCACCTTCGTTGTCTGTTCCTGAGAATAGGGCAGGAGCAAGTGCACATTATTATCTTATCGTGACAAAGTTAGCCAGCTAAAGCAGAAAAACACACAACAGAAAAAATGGTTTGTCAAGCAATCTCATTGAGTTCTAAAAGTGTTCAAGTTCTTTGCTTTAACACTTCAACAGGCAATACTTTCAAACGTAAGTCATGACTGCATTATTCTTGTGGAAACATTTCTCTTATTTCGTAATTCTTTTACCATTGGATATGAATATACAGTCCTTTTATCCAACAAAATTTAAATACAGAAGCTCTCAGTGGCAATTCTTACCTAATCTGCCTTGTACACATACGAAAACCAATTTTAGAACAAAAATCACACTACAAAGGAACACTATGGTATATACCAGTCTATAATCAAAACACAAAAACATGAGTTAATTTTAAAAAGTAGTTTTAAAGCATAGTAAATTCAGTAACATACCTCCACTCCCCCAACAACACGCTGAGAGATTGTTTCCAGTTTTCTACATACACACACATAAACTACATGGTAAATAACCTTCTCCTTCTTGCAAATAAGATGCAAACTTTAGAGTTACATGTTTATTTTCTTTGGACTAATATATCTATATTATGTGCATATACCTAAAGTGTAGTAGTACTAACTTTTAATTGCCTTTAGCATTGAAACCCCATTCCCATTCCCATTCCCAATACTACTGTAAACTATCCAACATTGTTGGATCCTTAGTCTTTGTCACGACTTATGCAGATACCAAACACTGAGTGACCCCAAGTTCTTCTGCTTCAGCATATCCAGCGCAGTTTTTCAGTGTAGAACCCGAGCTCGATGTGGAAACAAGCATATGCCACTTGAGAGAGAGAGAGCAGTGCACACAATGACCCAGGAAATTCTTTTTCTATTTCATCTTCAAAGAAATGCTTGGCAAGCTAGAAATAATTCTCTCAAAGGACACTAATCTCCTGTGAACTTTTTATTTATGAGCGCCCCAAACAAATGTCTACAGGAATACACTAGTTAAATAAAAGTGGATATTCATTCTGAGTTTCTAAATGTTCTCTTGGCTTCGCAGACCACAATTTAGCTTCCACATTAATTAAGATGACACCCTCCCCTTTCCTATTCTTCTGTTCTCTGTTCAAATGAGTTTACTAGAAACCCATTTCGCATGTGGTCCTTTTTTTAACATGTGGTTTTGGCACAATGGATCAATTGCAATTATCAATTTTGCTTAAAGAGAGCCCTTTTCCTTCTTAAAAGGGTGTTTACCATCATGCCCACACAGACGTTGGAAAAACAGCAACCAAAACGACCTCTCATCTTTGCTCAGCCACCGTGAAACATACAAACTGCCGTTTTGATTTCAGAATCCTGAGTCCTATAGGTTGAAAGGAATTTTATACTGGTGGGAAAACTTAAACAAAACAAGCTAAATTGGGTCTCTAACTAAACTTATCTCTTGCAGTTTAAAATTTTCCCTAGTCTGCAAAGGGCATTCTATCATCCATGAATCACATTTCTGAATGTATCTACGTTATCAAAAAAGCCTCCAGTCCCTTTAAACCAGCAGAGGCACACTCCAGCTCACTCCTCCTGTTACTGCAAGAACCCACTCCTGGGGCCCTCCTGAATCCAGTCCAGGTTTTCACCGCCTACTCCACCAAAAGCAGTAAAAGGTGTTATGTTCTCAGACTGTTTTTCTGATTAGAATCAGATTTCAGCAAAATGTACTTTCATGTTCACTGTGGCATATACCCATTTGGGCACACCAAATAAATTTGTGTGTGTATGTACCACCCCCCTCCCACTCAATTCTAGTTATGCTGGTGTGTTTATATGGTCTGAGTCCTAACTCCCTCACACACCAGCAATTTTTCAGATGTACCTGTAGTGCTTACTGTAACTCCAAGTAAAATGACCTTCAGCTGAGAGTCACCATTTAAGGGAAACATTCTGACAACTTCCAATTGATTTAATTAGATGCTGAAACACCACATTCCTGATAATTCTGTGACTCTTTTCATCATTTTTTCTATCATTTTAATAAAAACAAATAGCTTTTCCTCAATTATATTACAATAACAAGGTACTGACCCTACAGCTATAATTTTAAATCCCATGGGTATTATCAAACATACACTGCACTTAGACAGCATTAAACTGGTCTGTTTACTTGAAGAAAAAAAGGCACATGGATCCCTACGCCACCTTGATCATCACCTTGTTGGAACACTTGCAGACTAATGACCTTAGGCCAGAATCTAGGACAGCAGCCACCACTATGTTTTGTGGTTCCCACGGTACCTCTGTCTCACCACCAATCCTGCACAAAAACAGCTACAAGATTTGAGAAGAAACTCTTGAAGTGAACATCCCTCACCCCTTTATTTCTCTCTCCCCCCCATCATTCAGAGTTTCAGACAGTCAGAAGGCACCGCCAGCTGCAAAGCAAGCAGTCTCTGTCTCCTCATGGATATTTGATGAGAATGTGAAGAACAATACGGGCACCGTTCTATCCAATTGTTCTTCAAAAGCCCCATGTTGCTGTCTTCACTTGTTTTCTCTAAAGCACTGATTCTAAATCCTGGCTGCACAGTTTCACCTGGGCAACTGAAAAATGCGCAGGCCTGGGCTCTGCCTGCTGCTTCACCTGAATGTGTGTGGGGTGAGACCCAATAGGTAATTTCTCAAACCTCCTCAGGTGCGTCTAATCTGGGGCAATGTTCTCAGAGGATGGTCCCCCAACCAGCAGCATCAGCACAACCTGGAGACTTCTCAGAAATGCACATTCTGGGCCACACCCCAGACCTACTGCCTCAGAATCTCTGGGGCTTTCCACAGCCCAGCCATCCTGGTTTCAGCAGACTCTCCAGGTGACTCCCAGGTATGCTCAAGTTTGAGAACCATTGCTTTTAAGCATCCCCTTAGGAGAAAAAGAATGTCACTGATGGAGACATTCTATAGTTTATGTATAAACTGAAAATGGTTAACTGTTCCCTTTAGCAGACACAAAAATGGATGCTCATTTCCTGACTTTCAAGCTTGTTTTTATAAACTTTGAGGCTCAGCAAGAATCAGCTGGGGCCTGGATACAGGAAAACAAGACACAAGTGAAGGTTACAAGCCTGGGAGAAGTCTGAACTTCAGGGCCCTTCCTAGCAGAACTTCCCCACTCTCACATCAAGATGACCATATCTGCCCACCCTGAGGTGGGCACTGGGGAGCATGTCCAATGCTAACGTAGGGGAACACAATTATGGGAAAGAAGAAACGTGTTAGGCCAAAAAAACAAATAGTAGTCTCCTGAGTTGGAAGCTTCACATTCAACTCCAAGATGACTGCTCTTCCCAAGGTCTTTGGGGAAAGAGGAGGACACAGGAGCCAAAAGTAAAACAAAACAAGAAGCTGGGGCCAGTATTTTGGCATTCAGGTCAAGGTATCAGAAAGGAAGAGTGAACCCACAGAGGCTCACCCACTCCCCTCCCCTTCCTCCCACCAACCACAAAGTGAAGGGCCTCACCTTTCACAATGGTGGCCTCCTTCAGGTGATGGGACAAGAAGTCAATGCTGGCATAGGTGTTGGAGGGTAGGGCTCCAGGGCCTGGCCCTCCACACACCCCACCGGTGCCGCTGGCCCCCACAGTGCTGATGAGACCCCCGAGGCTACGGGTCCGGCCCCAGGCACTCTTGTCACCTGGCTGCGGATGCGGATGCGAATGCAAATGCGGGTGTTGCTGCGGGGATGGCAATAGTCCTGGCTCATCCCGCACATCGATGGCAATGTAGTTGAGGCCATTCTGGAAGCCAGCAGAGGTCTCCCTGCGCATTGGAGAGCCACTGCCCCCAGGGCAGCCAACCAGGCCCCCAGGCTGACTTGGTGTCCATGGCCGAGCCTGCTGGGGGAGTGGTGGCTGCAACTGGCGAGGGGACGTAGGGGGTTCATCGCCCCCACCAAGGACACCGCTGCCACTCCCTTCACTGCTTTTCCTGAGAGAGACATTTTCCACAGAGGCCGAGTTGTGGCGCTTCGGGTTGTGGGCGAAGGACGGAGACACGGGAGTCACAGTGGTGGTTGAGGAGAACGTCTCAGAGCTATGTCGGCGGCGTCCCCCCTGTGGGTCTGCGCGGATGACTTTGGCCCCCCGGTGTGGGTCTGGGGGCTGGCCAGCCTGCAGGAAGGCCTCAACTCCAGACACCTGATCCATGAGACTCAGCCTCTTCATGCCAGACGTGGGGCTGGTCACGCGGGCACCTTCTGGCTTTGGGGGGGCCACGATGGGTTGTGGCGGGGTGGCAGCCACGCCAAAGGCCATCTCGGTGTAGTCACCATTGTCCCCAGTCTCCGAGGACGAAGAGGAGGCAGCGATGGGGCCCTGGGATGTGGATGCGGGAGGCAGGCGGTACAGCTCCCCTGGGGGGGGTGGGGGAGGTGGTTGCAGCTGCGAACTGGAGGGGGCAGCAGGGCGTGGGGGCAGTGGCGGGTACCGGGAGGAGGCCTCCGGGGACAGGAGGGTATCCAAGGAGCCTACCCGGTCCCTGCTCTGAGTACCACCAGGCTTAGGTGACTTGGGCGAATTGAAGTCGAGGTTCATGTAGTCAGAGAGCGGGGAGCGCTGCCGGCTGTCGCTGCTCGTGCCCGGGGTGCCCGAGCCCAGGGAGGAGGCTGGGCTGCTGGCAGACAGCAGCGAGGAGGATGAGGCTGCTGAAGCCAGCAGCGGAGGGGCGGGTGGCGACAAGCGCGTTCCAGCCTCGCCGAAGTCAATATTGATGTACTCGCCTGGGCTCTTGGGCTCAGGCGGCAAAGGATACTCGTGCATGCTGGGCAGGGTCTGAAGCCCCTCTAAAGACAGGCGCGTGGGCCTCACTGCCCGGCAGCGCTGGTTCAGGAAGCCCTCTGGGCGGCTACTGCCGCTGCCACTCTGCCTCCCCGGTGAAGGCACTACAGAGTGAGGAGACTGGGTGTGGCCGCCCCCACCCACCCCAGCTCTGGCTGACTGTGTGGTCCCCACATTGGCCTGAGTCTCCAGCCTCTCCTCTTCCAGAATGCGCCCCACGGGGGAGCTCATGAGCACATACTGGTCATTGTCCCCATTGCAGGTGTAGGGTGCCTTGTAGGAGCGGGGCAAGGAGCTGTAGCAGTAGCCGGGGACGCTCCTGAGCACCTCTCCACCACCATGCAAGGCTGCTGAGAAAAAGTCGGGTGGGGTTCCCGAGGTGCCTGCGTCGCTGGGGGACATGTTGAGGTAGTCCCCGTTGGGAAGCAGCTTGCTGTCGGTGCTCTCCAAGGGCAGCTTGGGACCACACCACATGCGCATGTATCCACTGTCCTCTGGGGAGCTTTCCGCCGGGGAACTAGCTTTATAGCTGGCCCCATTCACTGGAAAGGCCCTGTTGGCCACATTGGTGGGTGCCGGCACTGCAGGTCCAGTGGAGGGCAAGGCTGCTGCAGCAGCAACGCGTGGCTGCAAGATCTGCTTCGGGGCAGACACGCTGGTAGGGCTCATAGGCATGTAGTCATCACTCTTGCAGCTGCCACTGCCACCACCCATGAGGGCCACACCAGGGGTCATGGGCATGTAACCATCGTCCGTGCCCAGGTTACTGCTGGAGCTCCTATGGGACCCAATCTCAATGTCGCCATAGTCCTCAGGGTACGGGTGGTAGGCCACTTTGGGAGAGGACGTGGGGCACGATGGGCAGAGGCGGCCCGAGCTGCCAGAAAAGGTGGCCCGCATCAGGGTGTATTCATCCAGGGACGCAGAGGAGGGCTGGGGCACCGGCCGCTGCCGGGCAGGTGTGGTCAGGGAGTAAGTCCTCTTCCTCAGCCCCTTGTCCAAGTCCTGGGCTCCATCTCCTGAGACTCGACGGTAGGGGCGGCCACAGTGGCTCAGAGGCCTGTCCATGGTCATGTACCCGTATAGCTCACTCCCACTCCCATCCCTGGCCGGGGGTGTCTCGGCGATGGACTCAGGTGTGTTGCTCCTGTGGCTGCAGAAGGCTCTCAGGTCCCCAGGGCTGGAGCCGTACTCATCCAAGGACATGAAGCCAGGATCGCTGGGGGAGCCAGAAGCTGAGGCGCTGCCACTGGAGGGCCGCTGGCCCGTGTGGTGGTGCAGGGGATGCTGCAGGTGTGGGTGCGGGCCTGGAGGCGGCGGGTAGGAGCCCGAGCCATGCCCGCTGCTGGACGACAGGCTGCCTGGACTGGTGGCTGCTGGGGGCGAGTGCGCCACAGGCATGGACATGGAGCGGCTGTGTTGCAGGGCGCCCCCTGCCGGCGCCAGCGTCACCTTGCTGGCCCGGCTGCCGCAGCCCGCGCTCAATGTGTGCGAGCGGCTCAGAGGCGCGCGCACCGGCCCCGGGCTCAAGGGGCTCCCAGCCACCGACATGGGCCTGCCGCCCGCTGCCCCATTGCCCGCCGCTGCGCCGCCATCGCCCTCGCTGGCCGTGCGCACCCGGCATGAGCTGCACTTGGTGGCCGGCGGGGTGGCAGCCAGGCTGTCGGTGCGCGAGCGACGCACCAGGCCAGTCTGGCTGGGGGGCAGGTTGACCAGGTGGTGGTGGCGGCGAGTGCCGGGGACGCTGATGGGGTGCGTGGCCGACGAGCCCGACGACTGGCTCTTGCTGCGCGGCCGGAACTCGAAGAGCTCCTTGAGCGCCTTCATGGCCTCCAGGATAGTCTCGTGGATATTCTGGGCCACCACTGAGTCGTCGGCCTGCATCCACAACTCGCCAGGGCCGGTGACAGCGGAGCGGCCCACCTCAATGAAGAAGAAGCTGTCCGAGTGGCCGCAGCGGCGGATGTTCATGAGCTGCAGCGTCACCGACGGCTGCTCACAGTTCAGTTTCACGAAGCCGATGGTGCGCGCGGACAGGCACAAGCGGTACACGCCTGTCAGGTTTTTGCTCTGGCCCAGGCCCTTGGGCTTCAGGTTCACCTGCCACACCTCGCGGTAGGCAGCTGTGGCAGGCGCCATCAGTCCGTAGCTGTCATCAGCGCCGGCAGAGCCGCCCAGGGCGCCAGGCAAAGAGGCACTGCAGGACCCAGCGGTGACGGCAGCGGGGGCCGAGTCGCCAGCACTGGCGCGGCCCTCACTGACCAGGTCGGTGAGCGCGCGGTACCAGCCCTCCTGCTCCTGCTCGTTCTCGGCTGCCACTGCGAAGTACTCGTCCTTGGTGTAGAGGGCGATCAGGTACTTGTGCTTGGCGTCGGCGCGCTTGTTGATGTTCAGGCAGCAGTCAAGCGAGATGACCCGCTTCGGGGCGCCCGCCTTGCTCCGCCACTTCTTCTCGCTCTCATAGTACTCAAGCCGTGGAGGCTGTGGTGCCGGACCCCCGCCCGCTGTCGCCTCCTCGCTGCTTGCGCCGGGCCCGCGCAGCACGAAGAAGCGCTTGTGGCCATGCTTCTGCTTGCGCAGGTAGCCGCACTTGCGCACGCTGTGGTTGTTGTTGTTGTTGTTGTTGTTGAGGTTGGGGCCGTCCCCGCCCGCCGGCCCGGGGGGTCCGTGCAGTGGCGGGCTCGCCATCGCGGGCACTTCAGGCCGCACTGCCCAGCCCGGTGTAAAGGGGCTCGGGGGGAGCAGAGGGGGCGCAGACGGGGGCTGCTCCCTCACCCCTGCTCTCCCGCTCGAGCCCGCGTCCCTTGGGCCCAGGAGGTGGGGAAGGTTCGGGAGGCCCGCGGGGGCTGACACCGAGCGGTGGCGCAGCACCCTCCGCGCTCCGGGGCCCCAGAGGATGCCCAGTGCCGGTGGTGGCCGCCCCTGGCCCGGCTGTCCGCGGCCGCTGCCTCCTGGGCTCTCGGGCGGCGCCTGGGGACTCGCTGGCTGGCTGGGCGGAGAGTCGGGGTCCCCGAGCTGAGGGGCCGAGCCTAAGGCTCGCGCGGCCGCACTGGTCCTGCCGCAGCACCGCGCTCCGGGGTGCCGGGGTGCGCCTGGGCACTCGGGGTCTGTGCCGCTGCTGGGGCTGCTACTGCTGCTGCTGCTGCTGCCGCTGCCAAAGGCGACCTGGGCTCTTCGCGGTCCCCGCCGCACTGTGAGTAACACATCGCGCACCGAGTGACTGAACTAAGAAGAGCAAAACAACATGTGACTCGGCGTTACGCAGGCACACACAGCCCGGCCGCCCCGCCCCGCCGCCCCTATTGGTGCTGCGCCTCCCGATGGATGGCGCGTGCGACCAATGAGCGTGAGACGCGGGGGTGGGGGAACAGGCCGGCACTCCCGTCCCGCCCTCCTTTCTCCCGGGGCTGCGTTTCCCGCCGTCCCCTCCCTCTCCCTCGGAGGCAGGGGCCCGGGCAGGGCAGGGGCCCGGGCAGGGCAGGGGCCCGGGCAGGGCAGGGGCCCGGGCAGGGCAGGGGCCCGGGCAGGGCAGGGGCCCGGGCAGGGTAGGGGCCGGCCCAAATCTCATTAATCAGAGGCTCGTTGTGGATGCTGGCGGAGGAGATGCCACCCAGGGCGGGAAAAGGGGCGCGCAGAAGGGACTGGGGCCAGCCTCCTCACGGAGGGTCCTTCCCTCCCGCTTTAGCTCAATTAATTGCGCTTGGAGCTTCCGCTGGGGAGGGGGTCAGAGGAGGAGACACTGCAGGGGGCGGGGGCCAGTGGTGTTCCAGGCCCGAGAGGGCCCACGGGGGCTGGACTCACTGAATGGGGCGGTAGCACCCCATTTTGGCTCCACCACTGCCTCACTCGCCGGGGGCCAGAAGGGGTAATGAACTTGGCTGCCCTCTCCTAATCCCCTCCTACCAACACACACACTTGGGCGAGCGGATTCGGAGCCCAGAAGCAGGGTGGGCGCGCGCCCTGCCGCCTCAACGGGTTTGCGCCTGGGTGGTTCCCTGGTGCCCCGCCGGCGGCTTGTTTACGAGCATCACATTAGTCATTGGTGATCTCTGGATCGATAGCAGCTTCGTGTCCCTTCCTGGAAGGAGAGCCTAGATGCTGGAGGGGGCGCGGCCCCCCCAACTCTAGGCCATGCTGGTGGAGGTGGTTCCCGGGGCCGACCTGCCCGCCCGGGGGTGCCCTTCCCCGGCACCAGGGTCGTGGGCTTTTTCCCCGGCGCATTAGCGCCATTCACTTGTCAGGTTCTCGAGAAGTTGATATTGTCTGTTAGGGATGTAATAGAAAGAGAAGGAAGACGGCAGGCGTAGAAAAATGCAGTTTCCATAGTGCTGGGAAGAGGGCGGGCTCCAGCGAGAAAACAGCCTCCGGAGCCTGTCCGGTGGTGGCGGTCCGGGGGTGGGATGCCCTGCTCCCACCAGGCCCTGGGTTCCCAGCACCGAGGCGCAGGAGATGGGCGGCTCCAGACCTGTGCGTCCTTACCAAGCAACTACTGCTTCACTGAAGATGCCGTGAATAAGTGCTTTTAATTTTTACATCTGCACTGCTTTTGTGACTTTCAAAGTTGATTACAAATAAGGACCCATACAATGGCTTCTCGTAAATGACAAAAGTGAGGGCTACTGGTAAGGGTGGGAGTTCCTGGGTTGAGATTCTAGCAGGCTCTGGGTCTTGCAGAAACTAAGAAGGCTAACAAAACAAATCCTTCTCTTAAAAAATGTTTGTGTATTCACGAAATAATTTGAAACAATAATATTGGCTATTTTTAAGTAAGCCCTGGAAGTTTGCCTTTGAATGTCCTCTGTAGTATATAAAAGCCTTTTTAAGTCTGGAAAATAACTAAAGATTTTAATTTTTGAAAAGGTGATATATTTTAACATATCTGTAAGAATGTGACTTAAAGATTCTGCTAGTTAATATTATGTGAGAATAGAGCTCTACTTACACAAAGATCATAGTGTTTTAATTAGCATGCATGTACTTATGAGTAGCATAAATTTGGGAAAAATAACCAGTAAGGCAAACATAATAGAATTTGCTCAAAGACGTATATTTGAAGTTGCACCTCCATTTTAAATCATGCTTTTAAAAATATCTCTAGGAATGCCATTTTTAAGTATGTGTATGTTTGTGTGTATGTGTGTGTATGTATACATTTGTGTACGTATGTGTGTATAGGTGTGTGCGTGTGTATACGTAGGCATGTGTGTATGTATATGTGTATGCATGCATTCATGTATGTATATGTATCTATGGTTATGTGTATGTATGGGTATGTATATGTGTGTCTGTACATGTATGATCGTGTGTGGTTGGGGGAACCACCTTTATGGACATTGTTCTCTGGGTTTTTTATTCTTTTTAAATCCCGTTGCTCTATGTTAACAAATGTTGCCTAGCAATATATCTACTCAGATGAAGGGATTCTTATCTTAGAGCTTGAAGAAAATGTGGTTCAATTTTATTGGCTCTGATCATTTCCATCCCACTTTAAGAGGAATGTAAAAGGGCCTGCCTGTGTGCTCAGTAATGCTAACTAGCAGACAGTGATCATGGGGCAACTTCTTTTCAGCATCATGCAATAATTACTTCTTCTGAAAAGTATCTTTTGTAATTGTTTCATTCTTTTCTTTTTTATCTTGACTAATACACAATTAGATTTTCACATATTTCCTGAATATTTACTTGCTGTGCCCACCAGGTGTTAACAGTGTCATCTTGGGTTTATTTTTTCTTTTAGGACTATTCGAGTATAAAATGCTAGTATTCAGGTTGAGGTGCAGAGGTTCTAAGTTGGTTGTTTGTATGTTGCCCATGTACTCAGTTACGAGTTAGAGGCAGAAGAGGGAAGAATTATCACCTGTATCAGTAGTGTTCTCATAGAAGAAGATCACAGATCTATAGACAAACTGCAAACTAAGTGTCTTTCTGAAGTCTTAGAACCTCTCAATACTATTTCCATTCTCATTAAGAAGTCAGTTCATGAAGCTCTGCAATTAGAAGTATCCCAGTCTTCTTCCTCAACAAAGAAAACTTGTTGTCTTTCTCCCTTCCTATTGCCAAATAAGCTATTTATTTCTTTAAAGCTTGTTCGACACCTTGTGATTTTCCAACTGTTCTCCCATAATTTTTCAGCAAAAGTCAGCTAACAACATCTGCCAACCTGCTCTCCATGCAGAGCTGGGTACTGCTTGTGTGGCCTGTTGCCAGCAAGCAGCCTGGATGAAATTTTTACTCATGGTCCAAGATCTTTCATTGGATGTTCTTCTTCCTTTCATGGATAGCAAAATAGCCACATCTTTTAGCGAGGAGTGGTTTTTATTGTTTTGGGTTTTTTCTGCATAAAATTGTATGCAGTGACTCTTATTAAAACTAAAAGTCCTTCCTAAAATAATTTAATTACCTTTCAGAAACTAGTCTATTTCATTAAAATGTAGATGTTAAAATTATATAAAAATTCACACTAGTTCTAATAATGGCATCATTTGTACTCTTCTCTGTTTCATATAAGAAAGGCATGTATAGGAAAAGAAAAGTAGATAACATCTTAGTGCTTAAGGTTTTTTTGTTTTTGTTTTTTAAATTCATAACCCTGTTGCTATTTGACAGTATTTTCTATCTAGATGAACTCCACCTAAAAACTGACTTGGGAGATCATTAAGTGGAATACTATAAGACTAGTTAAAATAGCTTAAAATTAAAATGTATTTTAGGAGGTATAGATTTTAACTTCAGAGGTTTATATCACAGGATATATTTGTCTTTTAGGAGAATGGCAACATTTCATCACATTTTGCTTTATGAATAATGTATTGTATTAGCTTATTTAATACATTTTCCTTTCTTTGATGAATGAGCCATGCAGACTCATCATCATGCAGACTTTTCCTCATCTAGGATTCATGAAGGGACTTCCTACATTTTAGCAGCTAGTTTGTTTTTTTTTTCTTCACAAATACATTTGCTAATATGTTTCAACTGAAATTTCACAAGAATTTTGTAACATGCTAATTCTGAGCAACAGAATGCTTTATATGAGAGACTAGCTGTTGTTCAGATCACTTATCTATGTGTGGCATTCTAAATGTCTAAAGAATCAGAATTTGTTAATAGATTATATCATTTCCTTGGAAATTGTAGAGACTTTCTACTTTAGTATTTATTTTGATCATTAAAAATACTGATACATTTCAAATAGTCTCTTATATATTTATATAGAGAGGAAGGGTTTTCTGAAATAAAAATTTCATGTGCATATATGGTAGAGCAAACTATGATAACTTTTACAGTAAGAATTATTCTGCAAAGTATAAATGGAATTAATACTGTTTCAAAGCATACTCTCAGTAGGCACAAGAACAGCTATGCTAATGTTCAAAACATTTTCATTTATGTTGAAGAAATTTAAACATATAAAGAACCAATTGCAAAGTAACTGCAGTTAGTAATTTAAAACTCTTATTAATTCACCACTGGGTTTTGTTGTGTTTGAATTTTGAAAATGTGTATTTAGATATTTAAAAAATCTCCCAAAGACGTTCCATGATTGAAATAAAAATTATACATTATTGGCTATTTGATGTTACTGAATCATTAATACACACACACACACACACACACACACACACACACACACACCAAGGTTCCTTCTTAGAACTTCTCTCTTCCTTGGAATGCTGACCCTGTAACCTAATCACTTACATTTTGCATGACTGAATTGATGCCTTGTGTATTGCTCTCTTGGTGTTCTAGTTACTGGGTTAAAAATGTTTGTTTGTTGTTGTTTTCTATCAGAGCAGAACAAAATTGTCTGCTTTCCAGTTTGTAGCTCATGAGCAGATGAC